ACCAACTTTCTGGATCCATCCCTCAAGAAGTTGGAATGCTAAGGTCTCTCATTGAACTTGATTTGTATGTAAACAATCTCACAGGTTCAATCCCTACTTCTATAGGGAACATGGCCAACTTGACCATTTTATCCCTTTTTGAAAACCGTTTTTCTGGATCCATCCCTCAAGAAGTTGGAATGCTAAGGTCTCTCATTGAACTTGATTTGTATGTAAACAATCTCACAGGTTCAATCCCTACTTCTATAGGGAACATGGCCAACTTGACCATTTTATCCCTTTTTGAAAACTGTTTTTCTGGATCCATCCCTCAAGAAGTTGGAATGCTAAGGTCTCTCATTGAACTTGATTTGTATGTAAACAATCTCACAGGTTCAATCCCTACTTCTATAGGGAACATGGCCAACTTGACCATTTTATCCCTTTTTGAAAACTGTTTTTCTGGATCCATCCCTCAAGAAGTTGGAATGCTAAGGTCTCTCATTGAACTTGATTTGTATGTAAACAATCTCACAGGTTCAATCCCTACTTCTATAGGGAACATGGCCAACTTGACCATTTTATCCCTTTTTGAAAACTGTTTTTCTGGATCCATCCCTCAAGAAGTTGGAATGCTAAGGTCTCTCATTGAACTTGATTTGTATGTAAACAATCTCACAGGTTCAATCCCTACTTCTATAGGGAACATGGCCAACTTGACCATTTTATCCCTTTTTGAAAACTGTTTTTCTGGATCCATCCCTCAAGAAGTTGGAATGCTAAGGTCTCTCATTGAACTTGATTTGTATGTAAACAATCTCACAGGTTCAATCCCTACTTCTATAGGGAACATGGCCAACTTGACCATTTTATCCCTTTTTGAAAACTGTTTTTCTGGATCCATCCCTCAAGAAGTTGGAATGCTAAGGTCTCTCATTGAACTTGATTTGTATGTAAACAATCTCACAGGTTCAATCCCTACTTCTATAGGGAACATGGCCAACTTGACCATTTTATCCCTTTTTGAAAACTGTTTTTCTGGATCCATCCCTCAAGAAGTTGGAATGCTAAGGTCTCTCATTGAACTTGATTTGTATGTAAACAATCTCACAGGTTCAATCCCTACTTCTATAGGGAACATGGCCAACTTGACCATTTTATCCCTTTTTGAAAACTGTTTTTCTGGATCCATCCCTCAAGAAGTTGGAATGCTAAGGTCTCTCATTGAACTTGATTTGTATGTAAACAATCTCACAGGTTCAATCCCTACTTCTATAGGGAACATGGCCAACTTGACCATTTTATCCCTTTTTGAAAACTGTTTTTCTGGATCCATCCCTCAAGAAGTTGGAATGCTAAGGTCTCTCATTGAACTTGATTTGTATGTAAACAATCTCACAGGTTCAATCCCTACTTCTATAGGGAACATGGCCAACTTGACCATTTTATCCCTTTTTGAAAACTGTTTTTCTGGATCCATCCCTCAAGAAGTTGGAATGCTAAGGTCTCTCATTGAACTTGATTTGTATGTAAACAATCTCACAGGTTCAATCCCTACTTCTATAGGGAACATGGCCAACTTGACCATTTTATCCCTTTTTGAAAACTGTTTTTCTGGATCCATCCCTCAAGAAGTTGGAATGCTAAGGTCTCTCATTGAACTTGATTTGTATGTAAACAATCTCACAGGTTCAATCCCTACTTCTATAGGGAACATGGCCAACTTGACCATTTTATCCCTTTTTGAAAACTGTTTTTCTGGATCCATCCCTCAAGAAGTTGGAATGCTAAGGTCTCTCATTGAACTTGATTTGTATGTAAACAATCTCACAGGTTCAATCCCTACTTCTATAGGGAACATGGCCAACTTGACCATTTTATCCCTTTTTGAAAACTGTTTTTCTGGATCCATCCCTCAAGAAGTTGGAATGCTAAGGTCTCTCATTGAACTTGATTTGTATGTAAACAATCTCACAGGTTCAATCCCTACTTCTATAGGGAACATGGCCAACTTGACCATTTTATCCCTTTTTGAAAACTGTTTTTCTGGATCCATCCCTCAAGAAGTTGGAATGCTAAGGTCTCTCATTGAACTTGATTTGTATGTAAACAATCTCACAGGTTCAATCCCTACTTCTATAGGGAACATGGCCAACTTGACCATTTTATCCCTTTTTGAAAACTGTTTTTCTGGATCCATCCCTCAAGAAGTTGGAATGCTAAGGTCTCTCATTGAACTTGATTTGTATGTAAACAATCTCACAGGTTCAATCCCTACTTCTATAGGGAACATGGCCAACTTGACCATTTTATCCCTTTTTGAAAACTGTTTTTCTGGATCCATCCCTCAAGAAGTTGGAATGCTAAGGTCTCTCATTGAACTTGATTTGTATGTAAACAATCTCACAGGTTCAATCCCTACTTCTATAGGGAACATGGCCAACTTGACCATTTTATCCCTTTTTGAAAACTGTTTTTCTGGATCCATCCCTCAAGAAGTTGGAATGCTAAGGTCTCTCATTGAACTTGATTTGTATGTAAACAATCTCACAGGTTCAATCCCTACTTCTATAGGGAACATGGCCAACTTGACCATTTTATCCCTTTTTGAAAACTGTTTTTCTGGATCCATCCCTCAAGAAGTTGGAATGCTAAGGTCTCTCATTGAACTTGATTTGTATGTAAACAATCTCACAGGTTCAATCCCTACTTCTATAGGGAACATGGCCAACTTGACCATTTTATCCCTTTTTGAAAACTGTTTTTCTGGATCCATCCCTCAAGAAGTTGGAATGCTAAGGTCTCTCATTGAACTTGATTTGTATGTAAACAATCTCACAGGTTCAATCCCTACTTCTATAGGGAACATGGCCAACTTGACCATTTTATCCCTTTTTGAAAACTGTTTTTCTGGATCCATCCCTCAAGAAGTTGGAATGCTAAGGTCTCTCATTGAACTTGATTTGTATGTAAACAATCTCACAGGTTCAATCCCTACTTCTATAGGGAACATGGCCAACTTGACCATTTTATCCCTTTTTGAAAACTGTTTTTCTGGATCCATCCCTCAAGAAGTTGGAATGCTAAGGTCTCTCATTGAACTTGATTTGTATGTAAACAATCTCACAGGTTCAATCCCTACTTCTATAGGGAACATGGCCAACTTGACCATTTTATCCCTTTTTGAAAACTGTTTTTCTGGATCCATCCCTCAAGAAGTTGGAATGCTAAGGTCTCTCATTAAACTTGGTTTGTCAACAAACAATCTCACAGGTTCAATCCCTCCCGAGTTAGGAAAACTAAACTCCCTAACTCATTTCAATTTGCGTGAGAACAAACTGATAGGCTGCATTCCTTCAGAAATGGACAATCTTACACATTTGCAAATCTTTGATATAAGCCTTAACATGCTCACAGGTCATATACTACCAAGTATCTGCCTTGGAGGATCACTTATCAAACTACTTGCATCAAACAACCACTTAATAGGTGATATCCCAAAATTCTTGGGAAATTGCAGTCAGTTACGTCGAGTTAGGCTTGATCAAAACCAACTCACTGGAAATATATCTGAAATTTTCGGGGTACTCCCAAACTTGGTATATATCGATCTAAGTTATAATAACTTTTATGGTGAACTTTCTAAAAAATTGGGGCAGTGCCATAATTTGACTAGTATAAAGTTCTCCAACAATAAAATCTCTGGAAATATACCACTTGAGTTTGGAGGTGCAAGTCAGTTGCAACTACTTGACCTCTCTTCAAATCATCTAGATGGAGAGATCCCAAAGAGTTTGGGAAAGTTGGCCTTATTGTTCAGTATTTCTCTGTGTGATAACAAACTTTCAGGCAACATTCCAGTAGAATTTGGTAGGCTATCTAATTTGGAAGATCTAAACTTGGCGGCAAACAATCTAAGTGGATCAGTTCCAGTCCAAATAGGGGAGCTTGTGAAACTATGGAACTTGAATTTGAGCAAAAATCTACTCAGGGATGATATTCCATATGAAATAGGGAAATTACAGTTTCTTCAGAGTCTTGACCTTGGAAACAATTTGTTGAAAGGTCAGATTCCACAACAGATTGGGGAATTGCAAAGCTTAGAGACATTAAATCTATCCCACAATAAGCTGTCTGGTTTCATTCCATCCTCTTTTAATGGGAGATCAAGTTTGACATTTGTTGATATATCTTATAATCACTTGGAGGGTCCTTTGCCCAACACCAAAGCCTTTCAAGATGCTCCATTTGAGGCATATGTAGGTAATGATGGTTTGTGTGGAAATAAGACTGGTTTGATGCCATGCTCACAAAAAATAAGCAATGGTGCTAAAGAGAAAAAACATAACAAAGTTTTGCTTGTGGTCTTAGTTCCCATTTTAGGCATTTTATTACTTGTGGTTGTTGGGAGTTTTCTAGTTCTTCGAAAAAGAGTGGGAAACAAAGAAAATGAGCCTAAAAGAGAAAATATTGAAAATTTGTTTGCAATATGGAGCTATGATGGAAAAATGGTGTACGAAAACATCATTAAAGCAACAGAAGACTTTAATGCCAGACATTGCATCGGTGTGGGAGGATATGGCACTGTTTATAAAGCCAAGTTGCCAAGTGGGCAGGTTGTTGCTGTAAAGAAACTTCACTCTTCACAAGATAGTGAGTCGGAAAACCTAAGGAGTTTTACAAGTGAGATTCGTGCATTGGCAGAGATACGGCATTGTAATATCATAAAGCTTTATGGTTTTTGTTCGCATCGACGACACTCATTTCTAGTTTATGAGTTCATGGAAAGAGGGAGCTTGGGAAATATATTGAGCAATGAGAAAGAAGCATTGAATTTTGAGTGGAGGAAGAGGTTGAATGTTGTTAAAGGTTTGGCAGATGCTTTGTCATACATGCACCATGATTGTTCGCCTCCGGTCATCCATCGCGATATATCAAGCAAGAATGTTCTACTAGATTCCAGATACGTGGCTCACATCTCTGATTTTGGCACTGCTAGCCTTATAAAGCCTCAATCATCCAATTGGACTTCATTTGCAGGAACCTTTGGATACGCAGCTCCAGGTATGGCATGACTTCTCTTCAAATCAACAAGCAATTTTTTTTTTTTTTATTTACCAACTTTTATGGAATAGTTTTTCTCTAAATTGGCATGCAAAGCGTTTTCTACTATTCTTCTTCTTCTTAATCTTCCATGAACAAACTGTCTTTTCTTTTCTTTTTTTTTCCCCCATTTCCCCTCTATTTTCTTTGGTCTGTTTTTATGTCAGAACTTGCTTACACAATGAAAGTGAATGAGAAGTTGGATGTTTATAGCTTTGGAGTTTTAATACTGGAAGTTTTAATGGGGAAGCATCCGGGCGATCTCATCTCATCTCTTTCCTCATCACCACCCACTGTTTATGGTGTATTGTTGAAAGACATATTGGATATGCGCCTCCCATCTCCTGGGAATCATTTGGAAGAAGAAGTGGTCCTTGTTGCGAAGCTAGCATTGGCATGTTTACACACCAGTCCACAGTGCCGACCAACAATGCGACAAATTTATGTGGCTCTATCAAAACAGAGACCGCCTCTGCAGAATTCATTTCACTTGATTTCATTAGGACAACTCTTTGATTTCAAATGTTCAACCTCCTGAGCATTCTCATTCTCCTCTTCCCTTTATTGTTTTGCATTTTTGTTTTTCCATTTTTACTTTGAAATTTTGATTTTCGTTCTCTTTGTTATCTATTTCTTTGCCATTTTCTGTGTTCAAAGTTGGAAACACATTGAAATACTGTTGGTAAATAAAAACTTGTTCCAAAGGACAGGTGTGAATAAGATGAAGAGAAGGCTTGGTCGCATAGCCTTTTATCCTTATGATATGTTTGGCTGCAATGTCGTAATTTGTAGCCTCATTATATTCTTGGCTTCATAAACCTAGCCTGGACCATGTAGTGACCCCTCATTGTTTTCCTTTCCTGTAAATGTTTTGTATGCTTAAGTGAATCAAAGTGATCAATTGATTCAGTAGGTGACTCAACATTTCAATTGAACAGATCTCCTTATAAGCCGTGTGATTCAGAGTATTTTTGCAGTTTTTTTCTAAGCTGTTAATCATCTATAAGCAGCATCTAAAAACACACACTCACCATTTCAGAATAATCCCCCCCCCTCCCCCCCACAAAAAAAATAAAAATAAAATAAATTCTACTTATGTAACCTAGTTCTAGTGCATAAGTAGAAATTATAGCCTAACTAAATATTCCAAAGTAAAAAAGAAAAGAGGAATGGCATAACCAACTCATTTGAACTGCAACAAACCAATGAAGTAGCTGCTGTTATAATGTACATCTACAATTGCATATATGAGTCATGATAATTCAAATTACCATACCCTTGAAAGCAGAGTAGTCCAATTTAAAATTAGGACAAATTACACTTTGCACCCTTATACTTTGCACCAAATTTCACTTTAGCCCCTACACATGAAATCATGATAGTTAACCCCTTGCACTTCTGGTCAAATCCCACTTTAGTCCTTATACATGAAATTGTGACAATCAACCCCCTGTATTTATGGTCAAATTTCACTTTGATCTCTATACAAGTGTCAATATTCTATTTTTGTTACTTAATTGTTTAAATTTTTAACAAAATCTAGTCATGTGACAACAATGTGATTACAATATGAGGGTAAAAGAGAAAAATCATCTACATTTTTTAGCAATACACAGTTTATTCCAAAATTTATATCAAATTATGATTATATTAGGTTAAAACAAAATGCAGATTGTGAATGATTAAAAAGATGAATTAAAGTTTTGCATAAATTAGAATCATGAAATTCTGTTCTTCAGGGTAACACAGTCTTCTGTCTATTCATCTTCATCTCTCTTTAATTTTTGTGTTGCATTTTTTTTTATTTCAAAAGCTCTATTTTTTTACCTCTTCATCCCAATTTTTACCATACGAACATATATATATTGTATTATTTAACTCTCACGTGCTTATCGCGTAGGACGAAGTATATTGGTGGGAAACATGAATGATTTTCCTCTCTTGTCCTCATTTTGTAATCACATTTTTGTCACATGAATAAAGATTTAAAAATGAAGTAACAAAAAAGTGACGTTGACACTTGTGTAAGGACCAAAATGGAATTTGAGCAAAAGTACAGAGGATTGACTGTCACGATTTTATGTGTAGGGACTAAAGTGAGATTGGACTAGAAGTGTAAAAGATTGACTATGATTTCATAGTAAAGTGAGATTTAGTACAAAATATAATTTATTCTTAAAATTATTCTACTATTTACTAATATAATATATATCGTTTTTAAAAATTTTGAGAGTGTGACCGGCCTACAGCACCTCTAGATCCATCCTTCATTGTGCTTGTCATCTTTCAGTCAAAATTAAGGTAGGTTTCACACTCCTTTTGTATGGGTTCCCGTTGCAATGGATTCATTTAGTTGGTGACTTTAACATTGTTTCATGAATTTGACGCGAGATTTAAAAATAAAAAGAAAAAAATATAGATAAATGTAAATAAAATATAATTATTTTTATATATTTTTTCTTTTTTTATTTCTAAATTTCTATTCAATTGAACAGATCTCCTTATAAGCCGTGTGATTCAGAGTATTTTTGCAGTTTTTTTCTAAGCTGTTAATCATCTATAAGCAGCATCTAAAAACACACACTCACCATTTCAGAATAATCCCCCCCCCTCCCTCCCAAAAAAAAAATAAAAATAAAATAAATTCTGCTTATGTAACCTAGTTCTAGTGCATAAGTAGAAATTACAGCCTAACTAAATATTCCAAAGTAAAAAAGAAAAGAGGAGTGGCATAACCAACTCATTTGAACTGCAACAAACCAATGAAGTAGCTGCTGTTATAATGTACATCTACAATTGCATATATGAGTCATGATAATTCAAATTACCATACCCTTGAAAGCAGAGTAGTCCAATTTAAAATTAGGACAAATTACACTTTGCACCCTTATACTTTGCACCAAATTTCACTTTATCCCCTACACATGAAATCATGATAGTTAACCCCTTGCACTTCTGGTCAAATCTCACTTTAGTTCTTATACATGAAATTGTGACAATCAACCCCCTGTACTTATGGTCAAATTTCACTTTGATCTCTATACAAGTGTCAATATTCTATTTTTGTTACTTAATTGTTTTTCACTTTGATCTCTATACAAGTGTCAATATTCTATTTTTGTTACTTAATTGTTTAAATTTTTAACAAAATCTAGTCATGTGACAACAATATGATTACAATATGAGGGTAAAAGAGAAAAATCATCTACATTTTTTAGCAATACACAGTTTATTCCAAAATTTATATCAAATTATAACTATATTAGGTTAAAACAAAATGCAGATTGTGAATGATTAAAAAGATGAATTAAAGTTTTGCATAAATTAGAATCATGAAATTCTGTTCTTCAGGGTAACACAGTCTTCTGTCTATTCATCTTCATCTCTCTTTAATTTTTGTGTTGCATTTTTTTTTATTTATTTCAAAAGCTCTATTTTTTTACCTCTTCATCCCAATTTTTACCATACGAACATATGTATATTGTATTATTTAACTCTCACGTGCTTATCGCGTAGGACGAAGTATATTGGTGGGAAACATGAATGATTTTCCTCTCTTGTGCTCATTTTGTAATCACATTTTTGTCACATGAATAAAGATTTAAAAATGAAGTAACAAAAAAGTGACGTTGACACTTGTGTAAGGACCAAAATGGAATTTGAGCAAAAGTACAGAGGATTGACTGTCACGATTTTATGTGTAGGGACTAAAGTGAGATTGGACTAGAAGTGTAAAAGGTTGACTATCATGATTTCATAGCAAAGTGAGATTTAGTACAAAATATAATTTATTCTTAAAATTATTCTACTATTTACTAATATAATATATATCGTTTTTAAAAATTTTGAGAGTGTGACCGGCCTACAGCACCTCTAGATCCATCCTTCATTGTGCTTGTCATCTTTCAGTCAAAATTAAGGTAGGTTTCACACGCCTTTTGTATGGGTTCCCGTTGCAATGGATTCATTTAGTTGGTGACTTTAACATTGTTTCATGAATTTGACGCGAGATTTAAAAATAAAAAGAAAAAAATATAGATAAATGTAAATAAAATATAATTATTTTTATATATTTTTTCTTTTTTTATTTCTAAATTTCTATTCAAATTCATAAACCAAACACAATATAAGTTGACTTTTTTCGTCTTTAAGGTTGTGTTTGGTTTATGAATTTGGGAAAGAATTTGAAAAGAAAAATGAAAAAAGTAAGTAAAATGCGAATGAAATATAATTACATTTCACCTAAGTTTCACATACTTGTTTTTTTTTTTTTCAAAATCACTCCCCAAATCCATGAATCAAACACAACCTAATTAATATTTTTATTTCACATACTTGTTTTTTTTTTTTTTTCAAAATCACTCCCCAAATCCATGAATCAAACACAACCTAATTAATATTTTTAAGTCTCTTAAGGTTGTGTTTGATTGGATTGGAGGATTTGATGTGAAAAATAAAAAGAGAAAATGAAATGTAATTTCACTTTTTGTTTGGTTATAATATAAAACACAAGAAAAAATAAAGTGAAAGAAATGCAATCTCACTTTTTGTCTTTTGGGTTTATTTGGCCTCTTTTGGGAACATGAAAAAAAAAAAAAAAAGTCTACTTATTGGCTTATTTGGAAATTGAGTCTCTTTCTACTTTTTTTTCTATATTTTTTTCAAGAAAAGACACACACACACACACAAATAAAATAAAATAAAATAAATAAATAAAAAAACCCAATAAATTAGCTTTTTTCTATTTCTCAAAACAAGTCTTAAAGTCTTTTCTTTTTTTATTTCTCAACTCAATCAAATTTAGATTGGAATTTGAATTCAATCAATTTTTTTCTTTTTCTTTCTCTGTGTCTTTTTCTATTTTTTTTTTTATTTTTTCATATCAAATCTTCCAACCAGCTTAATTGTTTGGGACTTATATATGTAAACGTAATTGATTAGATTGAACAATCATAAGCAACTTTCATTTGGGATCACAGTTTTCTTTCGGGAAGTGATTGAGACCCCCTCTAATCATCACCCTCACACACACGTGGCGAGTAGGGGTGAGTAGCGGATATTCCGATCTGCCAAAACCGATCGAACCAAACCGATCTGCCGCATTTTTGATGGATGCGTGAAAATGAGCGGACGGTTGCGGATTAATTTTCTCCAATCCGTCAATTTGGCAGACGGATGGCGGATTTGAGATTCCTTTGGCCACAACCGAACCGCCAAACCGCGAGCATCCCTATTAATTTATAAGACTTTGTATTTTCAATTTGTTTAAATATTTTCTTTGTGTTTTCAATTGAAAAAGAGTTTAAATATTTTGTTGAAAAAAAGTTTTCAACTTGAATATATTTTTTGAATTGAAAAAAATAAACGTATTATTTATCTATATTTTGTAGTTTTAAAATCTAATTCCAAAAATAATAAATAGAAAATATGATATATGCTAGTTGGTTTTTGTTTTCAAAACATATAAATACAGAGACATACAATCTCTACTACTGCTCTGTTCATGGTTTTAGTGGTTTGAATTATTTTTATATTTTAAGAACCACAGATTGTAATACTTTATGTGGATGAATCACGCTGTGATTGTAATATGTGGATGAGACATGTAGTGATTGTGATATTCTAAAATTTCAAACTTTCTTTCTTTGGATGAGGTATATACAGTGATTGTAAATACTTTTTTATTAAGTCATTGACTATAATATTATTACTTTTTTTTTTTTTTTTTTTTGAGGAAGTGCACAAGTTGAATTATGTTGAAAATTTAAAAAATTTTAAACCGCCAAACCGATTCGCATCCATCCGTCAAACCGCCAATCCGCTCAATCCACATCCGCCGGATTGGCGGACGAATGCGGATTCATTTTCTCAAATTCGCCAATTTGGCGGATGGATGGCGGATTGGAGGT